TCACAATAATTCGTTGAGGGTGTATTTACATATATAACTACTTTCGAACACTGTAATCAAATAAAAACTCCCCGAAAACCTGTATGGTTAATAGTTAAGTTTTCACGTAACTGCGTTTTAAATAAAAAAAATCGGATAAGTGCGAGTTACACTGCCATTAAAACCGAGGGTTCCGTACCCTTAAACCTAAAATTTAAGGAAGTTAAAGTGTGAAGGCAGGTAGAAAAATTCCAATTTTGCTTAATTTTTCCTGTAATGTGAGCATGAAAACACATAGATAGAAACATAGTCACATATATCGAAAATTATCAGTTTTTCCTTGAAAACACTATGATGATCAACTCCAATCGTTCTCGCTATATTTTTTTTGTAATCTACACGTAAAAATGTATAAATTTGAATCCCTTGAGATAAAGTTTTCTTCTTTTTTTATTCGAAAAATCAATGATTTTTTCTAAAAATATGAGTTTTCCTTAAAAACAATATGATCATCAATTCCAATCGTGCTCGCTATATTTTTCCTGTAATCTATACGCAAAAATACGCATGTATACCAAATATGAACTGTCTTGGTCAAATACTGTGTGTGCTAGGAGGATTAAACACTTTTTTCAACATTTTTTATTTTTGCTTGACAACGCTATGTAAATCAATACGAATCATGTTCGCTGTAATTTTCACGTAAAAATACATAGGTGTACCAAATTTGAGCTCTCTATGTGAAAAAATGGCTAGGGGGGGGGGGGTACATGCCTAGTCTCATTAATAGGGTTCCCCCTTCGGGTACGGAACCCTAATAACCCTTTTGACGATTCAATAAAGAAAAGTATTAAATATAACTGACAGAGAGAAAGAGAGATTGAGAAAACAATAAAAACTCTAAAAATACATAAAAAAAATTTTATTAAAATTTTTTTTTTTTTTTTTTTTTTTTATAAAAATTTTTTTTTTAAATATATTTTTTTTCATATTAATTAAAAAAATTAAAAAAAAAAAAAAAAAAAAAAAATTTATAATATTTATATATAAAGGAAAAAAAATTTTATTTTAAAAAAAAAAATATATTTTTTTTTGTGTAAAAGTGATACTCTCTCACTTAATTTTTTTCTCTATAAAAAAAAAAAAAAAAAAAATCTGACTTAATTTTTTTCTCTATATAAAAAAAAAAAAAAAAAGTGCTTCATAACATCAGAAGTTAATAAATGTCTTCGTAGTATATAGAGGTAAGTTAAAATGCAAATAACAATCTGATTATTGAAACAAAGTTTTAACATACGGATACTAAATATATGTATTTACACAATTTAATGGTGCTTGACATGCAGTTTTTCTAATTTTCATTGCCATTTTCACTTTTTCTAATTATCATTCCCAATTTTTCTAATTTTTATTTCTACTTTCACTTCCACTTTTTCTAATTCTCATTCTTACTTTCACTTTCACTTTTTCTAATTTTCATTACCATTTCAACTTCCATTTTTCTAATTCTCACTCTCACTTCCACTTCCACTTTTTCTAATTATCATTCTTACTTTCACAACCTCTTTTTTATTTCCATTACCACTTTATCTAATTCTAATTCCCACTTTTCTATTTTTAATTACCATTTCCACTTTCACTTCCACTTTTTCTAATTCCCATTCTTACTTTCAGTTCCACATTTTTCTATTTTCATTTTCACTTCTACTTTTTCTAATTTTTATTCTTAATTTCAATTTCTCTTTTTTATTTTCATTACCACTTTCACTTCCACTCTTTCTAATTCTTAGTCCCATTTCCTAATTTTCGTTACCACTTCCACTTTTTCTAATTATCATTCCTAATTTTTCTAATTTTCATTTCTACTTTCACTTCCACTTCTTCTAATTCTCATTCTTACTTTCACTTTTTCTAATTTTCATTACCATTTTAATTTCCTTTTTTCCTAATTCTCACTTCCACTTCCACTTTTTCTAATGATCATTCTTACTTTCACGACCTCTTTTTGATTTTCATTGACACTTTATCTAAATTCTAATTCCCACTTTTCTATTTTTAATTACCATTTCCACTTTCACTTCCACTTTTTCTAATTTTCATTCTTACTTTCAGTTCCACATTTTCAAATTTCATTTACCACTTTCACTTCCACTTTTTCTAATTCTCATTCCCATTACCGCTTTTTTATTTTTATTACCATTTTTATTTTTTCTAATTCTCATTTCCACTTCCAGTTTTTCATTTTAACTTCCACTTTTTTGTATTTTCCATTCATTATAATTTAAAAAAATAGAAATGGATGCGTGAATGGAAATACGAAAGAAAAGATGTCGAAATTTAAGTGGAAATAAATATAGAAGTGAAAATGTAGTTATAGAAATTAGTATTAATGTGAATAGAAGTGGGAATCGAAATTAGAGAAAGTGTAAATGGAAGTGTGAATAAATATCAGGAAAAGTGGAAATGATAATTATACAAAGTGTATGTGGTAATTAATGCAAACAGTGAAGTTTAGTGGTAATGGAAATGTATTTTTATAATTGACTCTATGGTTTTTTTATTTTTGTTAACTTAGGTTAATTTCTTCGTAGAAATTGATCGAAGTTGACCTTGATGCCAGTTAAATACCTGGGGACCTTTTTTGATGAGAAATTCTAATTTACTAAAATTTTTCCCCTGGAGCCACTACTGGTATATTTCTGGGAAATTTTTTATGTGGGCTATACGCAGTTGAATAATACGGTAACTTAAAATGTGCATTAAGAACAAAATGATGTACATTTCTACAGAATGAAACTTAGACATGTGAAAAAGGTTTTTTTTATTAATGCGCAGTTGTGAAATTTTTTTATTCAACTTGCGTTGTAAGCATTAATTGATGCTTATTGATGCGATATATTAATAGATTATTTATTATTATTTAGAAATGTCCTCTTGTTGTGAATTTAGGAAGATTTAAAATAATTATATATAGGATTTGTATATATTTAAAAATAGTAAATGAAATAATACATTTATGTTAAATATTTTTATATTAAGTTTACAGATATTGATTATAACAATGACAGAAAGAGTTCATTGGTACAACTAGAATTATTTCTAGTTTTCCCATAATGAATTGGTAAATAGCTATTTGGATACTGTCATATATTATATAGTCAGTTCAGCCATACATAATGGCGTTCCATTAATATAGATGTTTAAGTCAACAAAAAAGTAGGTAACATAACCTAACTTTATCGCCAATTCAAATCAAAATCGCAACCATATTTATTTGTCAGTTTTTCCCAAAGCATTTATTTTAGTGCGGATATTTAAAGATATCCTTGGAATGTCCTAGGGATATCTATTTGATTCCGGCGTTTTTGATGAAGTATACCCTACGTAGCTCAATTGGACTAGTGGTTCTTGCTGGCAATGAGACCATTTGGTTATCGAATCCCACGACGAGAAAGGAAGAAAAGTGTTTTTTAAAATTTTTTTAAAAAGAATCTAAATAAATTAGAGAATTTATAATTTCAACTTTAAAGTAATATTGCATAAGTTTTAAATATTTTTGACCATTATATGTAATGCAGTTATATTAAAAGTTTTTTAATAATCGAAATATAATTAGAAAATAGTCATATTTTTTTCTATTGTAATGTATCTAAAATATGTTTATCATATCTTTATAATTAAAATAGTTATAAGCTAAATTTTAATAATATAAATTATACAAGTATAATTTGATTAACGTACGTAAAATTAAAGGAAATTTAAAGCAGAAAAAATATGTATTAAAATTATAAATTTCTAACAATATTAATGTAATTAAAAAATTAACTACAACAATACAAATGTAAAATTCTTGGCAAAATCTTACGTAAGAATAGCTTCTACCCTCCACCCACCGACGTAAGACCATGTAGAGATTTTATAAACTCCCCCTCCCCCTGAGGACCCTTATGTAATTAATGAATGGTCCCGAATATGTTAAAGGATTTTTATATAATACATGATATTTATGTCAAATGAGATTTTGGTAATATTAAATGCATCATTATAAAAACAGTCATTTTACAAACCGTTTTTTAAGAATAAAATTCAACTTAAAAAAAAGTGTTTTAAAAATTAATATTTTAATATCATTATGCTACTATTTTAGGTTAAACTCAAGAATCAATTCAATTAATTTGTTGGAAAAGAGTAACCGCAGTGAAGTCTACCAAATTCTAAGAAAATTTATAAAACCTGTATAGGTAGAATGAATGAAACACGAGGAGAAAAGTAATTAAATTTATTGTCCTACCTTAAATTTGGAGTCAAGATTCGAAGTTAAAACGTTTGATAAAACATTAGAATGGGAAAAGAAAATATTAACAGTTATATATATTTTAAGATGTACAAATTTTATAGAACTATTTTTAAAAATTTTACCCAACCAAATAAATATTACGGTATTTTTTAATCATGTAGTTACATGAACTTATTCTTTATTTTTTTAATATTTAAATATTTTTTAGTGAATGTGTTTTTAAAATATATATACAATTTTGCAATAGAAAAAATTAGTATAACATGTAATATTAATTGAATGAAAAATAAAGTTATTTATTAAATAAGTTATAATTTTCTCACAATAATAAAGTATATAAATAAATTAAACCATAATATAATTAGGAGCTTATTTAATGTCAATCGATTTCAATGGCGGCAAAGTTGTTTGTTTTTGTTGGAAGTTTTTTTCATTCATATTTCAATATTTTTTCAATAATTAATTTATAAGGTTTTATTAATTGTTTTATTAATCACAATTTTATAACCTTTTATAAAATAAATTAAAGTTTTCTTATAATTTTAATTTTACTTGAAGATGTAACAAAATAATTATCCTATATTAAAAAAATTATTTTTGTAATGTTAACAATTAGTATTTATTTAATTTTTTACGAAAATATAAACAAGTAAATAGTCGATTGTTTATAAAATACATAAAATTTGTGTTATAAATTTTGTAGTTTGTAGTATAAAACGCCGCATGTGTTTAAACGTTGTACATTAAATTAAAATCTAGTCAATTAATATGATGTTTTAGAAAAAAAAATCAAAATTATATGAATATAATTCTCAATGATCAAACTTGTCAATCTTGTAATTATTTTACAAACATTTGAAATAATTCACTTATTTAATTTTTTTAATTTATTTAATAATTTGAAGACCTTTACTGAATAACGATATTTGGCACAATTAGAAAGTTTAATTATGAGGTTTCAAAACACGTAAATTTTCATCAAATTGGTAATAAGTATTTGTAAATTGTTATTTATTACAGATTTAGTAACTATTACTAATTCTATTAGTAATAGTAGTAGTAGTAATAGTAATATAGTTAGTAATTCGTAATATAATTGGTAGACAGTTGTTATCAATTTCATAAAAACTTATGTTTTTTGAAAGCTTATAACTAAACATTTCAATTGTCATTATTCCGTCATTATTCCATTTTATGTTTACTAAAAAAAGTGAACGAATAGTATGTTCTCGCAGAAATTCGTGTATTTGCACGGAGAGAAGAGATTTAGTTTATTCTACTAAATACGTTTAGTGCAGATTCTACTAAACAGCGTAGTCAGAGGGACTACTATAGTTCTGTCACACAAAAAAATTTACCAACAGAATAAAAATGCACAAATCTGATTGGTTGTCCACAATTAACCAGATTGCTGACAACCAATCAGATTTCTACATTTCGTTTCTGTCGGTAAATTTTTTTCTATCGATAATCGTGTAAATTTTTTTACTAAACAGTATCGTTCATTTAACTGACTGTTTAGTCCGTCCAAAATGAAAGATACTGTTTAGTAGATTTAACTGAGATGGTAGTAAGATCTACTACGCACTTCTCTCCGTGTGGGTAAGTAGAACACTCAACAATTATAATAGTGAATAATATTATAATAATTAAAATTATTTATTAAATTATAATTAATATTATAATACTCGTGAATTCACTATTCGACTTAACAAGTAAAGTAGAGTGCTTTTCCGTAACTTTTTTAATTATTCTCATTCTTGAAAACGCATAGTAACCATAGAAAGTTGTTCTGCTTCTGCTACTTAGACTCAAGTGAGGATTACCCATAATAAAAAGTTTTAACCGTGTTGAACGTGATATTTTAGATATGCGTGTTGGGCTCTATTATGCGTCCAAGATTTTTCAGTCTTCCTGAAATTATTTAAAAGAGAAATTAGTAATACATATTTGATATTTTATTAATTATTTTAAAATAAAATCTAATGTTATTTTTGATGTTATTTACAACATTGTTAACAAAGTAGTGAAGAATGGTTTCTCTAGTGTATTTATTCATATTCAACTAAAATAAAAAACAACCATTTAATAAAGTAGACTTTTAGAATATAAGTAGTTTGTATAAAATAAATATTACCAATTTTTTTATATATATCACATGTAACTAAGGAAATGGCAAATATTGTTCAACAAATTTCGTAATCTAACTTAATTATGTTGACGTGGAATAACCCACATATTTACCTATATTAGTATTTTACATCTGAATTTAACCTCAGTTCCAGCGTCGTCTTGAAAGACCCATTTATCCACCAATATTACAAAAAGATCTCTCTGCTTCCAGGATTGAACTATAATCATGTCAAAAACATAAGTTAAAAATTAAAATATAGTAAAACCTCGTTTATCCGAGCTCGCTTTATCCGAGGTCTCGATTATCCGAGGTGGTGTCCCAGTAGGAAATTCTGCATTATCCGAGTCTAGTCCGCGTCATCCGAGTTATTTTTAATTTTAGTTTTTTTTAAATATGAGTTTATTTTTAATAAATTCAAATTGTTTAAATTATTATGGAATATTTACACAATCTTATTTTCCCGTTTGTATTAAATAATAATTGTTTAAACAATAATAATGTTAAATTGTAATAAATATTTATCAATTCGGATTATCCGAGGTAGGTCCAGTCCACATTAGCTCGGATAACCAGAGTTCTACTGTAACGTCAATATTTAAAGTTAGATATCAAAAACATAGTTTGAAATGAACATGACCTCAACATTTAAGGTCAAATGTTAAGTTTAAACCCAAAACTGAATGTTATAGGTCAAACATAAATTTAATATGAAAGGTCAATTGTGAAGTTTAAGGTAATGTATCTTATGGTCACAGGTTGTAACATAACTTAAAAATTAAAGATCATAGGTCAACAATTATGTAAAAAAAGTCATAAGGTCACTCACGATGAAGTAAAAGTAACTAAATCCGCGACGAGATATTTTTAGACTACACAACATTCCCAAACAGTACGATAAATTTCTTTAAATATTTTTTAAACACCACCGTGGAATAAACAAATTTTTTAATAAAAAAAAAGTCATGAGAATATTTCAGGGAAGTTGAGTTGATATTCAGGAGATATTAAGATAGAATTTTACTGTTGTATTGCGTATTTTAAATACTGCTCAAATTAAACAAATGTATTATCAATTGTTACTTAAGTAAGCCAAAAGATTAAAACCTGCGAAATATTCCCTCAATATCACTTAAATATTTATTTAAAAAGATACGCGATACCTAAAGGTTAACAATTAATTCGTTTGCACAACTACATCGAATACCAATTACTAACTAAAAAAGTCATTCATTCTCAAAAAAGAAAAAAGATTAATTAAGAAATTACGCAAATATTGACGCGTTCGTGTAAGTCTGATTGAAATGTTACGCAGATTCTGTCGAGTAATTTTTGTCAAGTCTATATAACCACTTAGAATGCCAATTACTGACTAGTCCTGTAATTCTTTCTTACGAAAGAACAAAGACTACTTAAGCAGTTACGCGGATTCTGTCGTGTTATTTCTATCCAGTCTGCATAATCACTTAGAATGCCAATTACTGACTAGTCCTGTCATTCTTTCTTACGAAAGAACAAAGACTACTTAAGCAGTTACGCAGATTCTGTCGAGTAATTTTTATCAAGTCTGCATAACCTCTTAGAATGCCAATTACTGACTAGGCCTGTAATTCTTTCTTACGAAAGAACAAAGACTACTTAAGCAGTTACGCAGATTCTGTCGAGTAATTTTTGTCAAGTCTGCATAACCACTTAGAATGCCAACTACTGACTAGTCCTGTCATTCTTTCTTACGAAAGAACAAAGACTACTTAAGCAGTTAGGCAGATTCTGTCGAGTAATTTTTGTCAAGTCTGCATTACCACTTAGAATGCCAATTACTGACTAGTCCTGTAATTCTTTCTTACGAAAAAACAAAGACTACTTAAGCACTTACGCGGATTCTGTCGTGTTATTTCTATCCAGTCTGCATAACCACTTAGAATGCCAATTACTGACTAGTCCTGTCATTCTTTCTTACGAAAGAACAAAGACTACTTAAGCAGTTACGCAGATTCTGTCGAGTAATTTTTGTCAAGTCTGCATAACCTCTTAGAATGCCAATTACTGACTAGTCCTGTAATTCTTTCTTACGAAAGAACAAAGACTACTTAAGCAGTTACACGGATTCTGTCGCGTTATTAATTACTGAGTTAACATAATACTTTAGAACACCAGCTGCCGAAAATTCATATTTTTTTAGAAGAAATTAATAACGAATGTTAAAAATATATAACAAAATGTACATGTTAATAATTGTTTAATATGCTTAACTACTTACATTGCCTTTCACTTTCTTAATGATTGGATATTGTTCTAATTCTTATCAGGAAAATATTGTTCTAAATTGTTGTTATCGTAGTTGAACATTTGTTTGTCTTTAATTTTAGTTACTGGTGTGAATAAATAAATAATATTTACATGCATGTAAATATTTTGATTTTAGAACTCCTTAAGAATTTTAGATTAATAGATATAACTTTTTTAAATTAGATTTAAGTCATGTAAGTCGGATTGAAATGTTACACGAAACTTAAAATTTGTCAAGTCTGCATAACTACTTAGAATGCCAACTACTGACTAGTCCTGTCATTCTTTCTTACGAAAGAACAAAGAGTACTTAAGCAGTTACGCAGATTCTGTCGAGTAATTTTTGTCAAGTCTGCATAACCACTTAGAATGCCAACTACTGACTAGTCCTGTCATTTTTTCTTACGAAAGAACAAAGACTACTTAAGCACTTTCGCGAATTCTGTCGCGTCTATAATCATTTAGTTTACATATGAACTTAGAACTATATGACATGTTTGGACGCAGAATTCGGCGTCCTTTTTAGAAATTATTGCTTTACAATGGTAGCATCACCATGGATTTTTTCGAAGGTAGATTTTATATGATGGTATAATAATTTATAATTATAATTTATATATTTATTATTTTATATTATTATATTTATTTATAATTATAACCATCGTATAAAATGTATCTTTGAAAAAATCCAATTTGATTTACAGTAATAATATTCGTTATGAGGACGCAGAATTTTGCTTCATAATGTGTTATGAAAAATAATTTGATGTTAAAATAAAATAAAATGCCACTAGTTTAAAAATACAAGATCACTCCAATAACGTTTTTTTGATTTAAACAAAGAAAGTAATATATTTAAATGAATGTTTAGTATTTTTTTAATTAAAAAAATTAACTGTTTAAATTTGAATTTTTTTCGTTTTTCAGGTAATTTATCGATTTTGTTGCTCCAATTGGTCTCTTATTTCCTTCAATTTATTTGTTTTTTTTTGCCCTCCTTTTCTTTTTTTGTTCCTTTTGATAGTTTTTCCATGATTGGGATCTGATTTTTCTTTTTGATAAATAGTTGAAGTTTTTATTTTTTTCTTGTTCAGAATTCGCTTTAAAAATGAGAGAAAAATCTTTTAGTACTTCTATAACTTAATGGGTGATTACGGTGATTTTTTTTAAATTGACTTGTATTTTTCATTTTTGCTTAGTAAAACTATCTACGAACACGGTAAATTTAGTTTATTACATTAATCGTGAACGTACGCGTTTATACTAGTCGGTTAGTAGTTAATGGTCCAGAGGCACTCACTGCTACTTGACGGGCATTAGATTACTTGAAAATGTTATGTTAGAAGCAGTAGAAGGAACTATGTATGGAGACGCTATTACTGATTGAGTAAGAATTACTTTTTTGTACAACTTCTAGTTTGAAAACTTTAAACGCGTTTTTTTCGATACTGCATTTTTTCAACTTTGTCACACTTTTATTTTAAAACTATTTAATCAGTTAACATTAAATATCACTGTAATCTCCCCTTAAAATTATATTTAACTTGTTATTACGGAAATTTAAGTAGACAGATGTAAAAAGATATACTATCAATTTCTGAAATGCAGACATTTCGCAAAATGCAAATTTTCTAATCATTTTCAGGAATTTCTTACGTATTTAAAGGTGTTGCCTAAATTGATTTAGTTTTTTGTTTAAATTTTATCATAGCAAGTTTTGCATTGATGTAAACGAACAGTTTAGAAAAGATTTTGTCTATTAATCGAATAAGTGATTACAAGTCGAAGATTGTATTTGACGTAATTTTAAATTAATTTAAATTAAATGTATTGAAAACAAGTCGTCAATACAGGAGAGTAGATAGATATAATTCAAATTACTTATGCATTTTAAAATTTTTGAGCAGCTATAATGTCTTAGGAACACTACTGCGCAGCTTTTAATGTTTTTAATTTTAATTAATTGAAAACATGCATGAACCTGTACAAGAATATGTAATATGTGTATACATATTACATGTATAAAATCATTTTAGGCTAAACCCGAAATGTCTAGGAAATTCTTGAAAATGACTTAGATAATTTGGAAATATTCTAAGATTTTAGGAATTATTCGAATTTTCTAGTGATTTTTAGGTATTTATCGAATTGTCTAAGAATTTTGACAAATATTTTGACTTTGCTGGTTTTGCCGGTAATAAATAGATAATTGAAAATCGTCATTATCACAATTATATATGTGGGGTCATAATAATAATTTACCAGTGTAATTTATTTTCTTTGTCTCTTCTGCTCCTTTATTTTCCAGGGAAGATTTTTTTTCTTCCATTGATATTACTATTTCTATAATTCATATTAAGTAAATGTTATTATCTTTGTTACATATATTATTTGTTATTCAAGTTGTTATTGTTGTATGAGTCATTTTCACGTAATGAATTTTGGATGAATTTTTGTTGAAGGGGTTAGATATTTTGAAGATAATAATCAGACCAATTTTTAAGATTTTTCTCGAGTACAGAATGACAGAAATTAAATATCTAATTTAAGGGGTTAGGCATTTTGAAAAGAATAATCAAATCGACTTTCAAGATTTTTCTTACGAGAACAGATTGACAGGAATTAAAAATTTAGTTACATATTATTGTAAATTATCTATTGAACTACCTAATAATTATTTTTATTTATTAAAGAAATTGAAAAATTTTACCTTTATAATGATGATTATGTCTTATTTTATAGACCTTAAGGCATATTTCTAGGCAAAAATATTATCGTTTTTTTAACGTTTCAGTAGCCTAACCTCTTAAAAAAGGTTTAAAAGGAAAATAATGATGCCATATATTAAATAACGCAATTCAACAAAATTTTATTCAATTTACTTTTCAAGAATCAGACATTATTTTTCCGACGGTTTTCGACGTGCTGAAT